ACGGCAGCATCCATGCTGGGGTAGGGGGAAGTCCAACACAGGTGTCAAAGCCCCAGCAGAGCTGGCTACCATGGGAGTTTTGGGGGTAGAGGTGAAGGTAGTGCCAAACCCTGCGCAAGGTGAGGATACCAACCATCTGAGGGATGAAAGCAGAGTGGTGGAGTGAAGCTAAGTGTCAAATACCGCAACGAGTACAAAGGGCAGCCAGTGCAGGGAAGTGGCGGCAACCCAGAGTGGGGTGTGGAATCCAAGCTAAGTGAGGAGCATCATGCATTAGGGGATGGGAGCAACACATTTGTTAGTACAAGAGACACTGATCAAATAGGCAAACATATTGAGGATAATGGGAATCAAATTTCTCACTGTTGGCATGAGAATCATAAACATGAAAAAATTTAGAACAAATTTGGAGAAATTACTAAGGGTTTATGGTTTTCTCTAGATACAGAAATACATATGCGTATAATATATACCCATATACTGAATCAGAATTATCACTGTGACCTAACAGTCTTCAATATATAGAGATAAGCATTGAAAAAATATAGATGTGCATGTGCATATATCTATCTATATATACACACATATTTCCTAACTATGCCCACAGAGAGGGCCAGGGAGTAGCAATATCCCAATAACAACAAGCATACTTAGTGCCCACTTTGGTTTCTAAAAGGAAATCAATATTCCTTGAAGAAATGGTGATGAATTCAGTCCAGCTGGGTCAAAAATGATCTGAGATGAGCCTGAACACACTGAAGTATCAGAACCAAGGAGCGCACAACCTTATCAAAACACAAAGAAGCCAGCTTGAAGGTGTCCCACCAGACAAACCTGAGACAAAATGATCACTAAAATAAATGACAGTAATGGGGAATGACCCATTAAAATAAAATAGTTAACACTTAAGTCCATGTTAGTCCATACCTATATAAAAGGAGAGTGGAGCAAGTTATTCCTTTAAGTGAAATGTCAACTGATGAATGTAAAGTAAAAGATGGAAACAGAAAACCACCACTTACTATCAATTACAGTAATAAATTAAGCCAAGAAACAACAACGGATGCTAAAATTAGTGGGTAAAAAGCACAAGGAACAAGATATTTACATAAGAAGTACTTCCTTCAAAATGCTTATTTATTATAAAGGGAAGATTAACTTCCCAGTGAAGAAACCTTGCAGATACCACCTTAACCAAGTGATGGAAATAACATCCAGTACTGGGGAAAACTGAAATCGCGTACCCCCTGACAGGATGCAATGAGAACACAGCATCAGTTCTATGATACTCCTGCCAAAATATAAGATCTAAAACTTAATCATCAGGAAACATCAGGAAATGCAGAAGCGTGAAATATTCTACAAAATAATTGGCCTGTAATCTTCAAAAGTATCAAAGTTATGACAGTTAAGGAAAACTGAGTTACTATTTGAAATTACAGAACAAGGGGCGCCTGGGTGGCTTAGTCGGTTAAGCGTCCGACTTTCGCTTAGGTCATGATCTCACAGTTCGTGGGTTCAAGCCCCGCGTCAGGCTCTATGCTGACAGCCAGCTCAGAGCCTGGAGCCTGTTTCCAATTCTGTGTCTCCCTCTCTCTCTGACCCTCCTCTGCTCACGCTGTCTCTCTCTCTCCTAGAAATAAATAAAACATTAAAAAAATTTTTTTGAAATTACAGAACAAAATGCAATCTGTGATCTTTTGCTATGCAGGACTTTCCTGGGAAAATGGGGGAAACATGAAAGAAAATTAAGGAAATGATAAAGGTTTTGGATTATACAGTAATAATGCATGAATTTTGATGGCTGTATCCTGGTCATTCAGGAGAAAGTACTTGCATATTAAAGCATTCTGGGGATATGAGTGTATAGTGATAAATAACTCTGAAATGGTTTAGGAGAGGAAAAGCTCTTGATACTATTAATGCAACCTTTTAAGTTTGAAGTTACTTGGAAATTGAAAGGAAAAAAAAAGTATTTAAAAACATGAACTTAAGTGCACCTATGTGGCTTGGTTAGTCTCCCTCTCTCCCTCCCTCCCTCTCTGTCTCTTCCTCCCTCCCTCAAAAATAAATAATTTTTTTTAAAACAAGAACTTCAAAGCACTAACAACATGTTGAAAGATTTTCTTTGCATGGTGTCAAAAGCAGAAGCAATAGAAAACACTGTAAATTATATAAAAATGTTAAACTTCTCAACTAGAAAACACTCTCAAGAATACCAACAACAATTTTTAAAAAATGAAAACATAATGAAAGTTAAGAAGCAAATGTTGAATTATGGGCAAAAGCATACACATCAAGTATATAAGACAAAAGAAAAAAATCTCTAATATAAAAAGCACTTTGGAGGCACCTGACTGGTTCAGTCAATAAGTGTCTGACTACTGATTTTGGCTCAGGTTATGATCTCAGGGTTCATGAGTTCCAGCCCCACGCTGGGCTCTGCGCTGACAGCATGGACTCTGCTTAAGGTTCTCAGTCTCACTCTCCCTCTGCCCCCACCCCTCTCTCAAAAATAAACATTTTGGAAAAAAAAAACCTTGGTTACAAAAATAAATAAAAACAGGGGTGCCTGGGTGGCTCAGTCAAGTTATATGACTTCAGCTCAGGTCATGATCTCACAGTTTATAGATTTAAGCCCCACATCAGGCTCTGTGATGACAATGCGGAACCTCCTTGAGATTCTCTCTCCATCTCTCTGTTGTCCCAGCCTCCCTCTCAAAATAAATAAACCTTAAATAAATAGATAGATAGATAGATAGATAGATAGATGATACACTGATAGATGATATAGATAGATAAGTAAATAAAGCTCTATGGATGGGAGCAGATTTTAAAAGAAAAAACAGGAGCTCCTGGGTGGCTCAGTTGGTTAAGCATCCAACTTTGCCTCAGGTCCAAGATCTCAGGGTTCATGGATTCAAACACCGCATCAGGTTCTATACTGACAACTCAGAGCCTGAAGCCTGCTTCAGATTCTGTGTCTCCCACTCTCTGCCCCTCCCCAGCTTCCTCCCCCTTCCCTCCCACCCTCTCTTTCAAAAATAAATAAAGCATTAAAAAAAGAAAAATAAAACATTACAATATTAAATAAACAAAGCGCTATTCAAAGTCAACAAACACGAAAAGGCTTTTTTAAATGTTTTTTTTTTTTTTTAATTTATTTCTGAGAGAGAGAAAGAGACAGACAGACAGACAGAAAGAGAAAGAGACAGCATGAGCAGGGGAGGGTCAGAGAGAGAGGGAGACACAGAATCTGAAACAGGCTCCAGGCTCTGAGCTGGCTGTCAGCACAGAGCCCAACGTAGGGCTTGAACCCACAAACCGTGAGATCATGACCTGAGCTGAAGTCAGATTCTTAACCAACTGAGCCACCCAGGTGCCCTGAAAAGGCTCTTTTAAAAAACTGTAAAATATTTCTTACTGTTACTCAGAAAAAAATCGGACACTAACATGTTTCACTAAAAAGAACAGCAAAGATTGTTTGAATGGTAATACACAGTGCACTTAACAGGATATAAGGTTATTAGCACTGCACATATTACTCATGTAGCATAAATTAGAAACTGCATTCCACAGTACAATTTCATACGATATATTTATGGAAGCTTCCAAAGCATGCACACCCTTTTACACAGAGATTCTGTTGATATGTACAAGCCAAAGCCAAACAAGGCCCTTCAGTAGACAGGAACTCTTTAATTTATCAAAACTAGTAATACTGTGTATTACATGCTAATTATCCACTAAAAATAATGGCAAAAACATAACTGATTGATACAAGAACATGTTCGGGGTTGATAACTTTCAAAAACAAAACAGTATAAGCAATATGATCCAATTTTTAATATATATTACACATAAAAATGTACACACAAAAATCTAAAAGGATCAAAAAGAGAAGATTAGGATGATTTGTCTTGCATTTTTCTATTTGTTTCCTGTACTTAAAAAAAATTTTTTTTTTACCATTTACTTATTATTGAGAGATAGACACAGAGCATGAGGAGGGGAAAGGCAGAGAGAGAGGAGGGGAGAAACGGAATTGGAAGCAGGCCACGGGCTCTGAGCTCTCAGCACAGAGCCCGACACGGGGCTCAAACTCACAAACCACGAGTCATGACCTGAACCAAAGTTAGATGTTTAACCCACTGAGCCACCCAGGAGCCCATTCCTGTATTTTTAAATTTTTAAATAAATATTAAGAATCTATATTGTAAAATGTTTAACACAAAAATATCTGAAACCTTAGAATTGGTGGCAGTGATAATTTCTCCCACAAATGAAATAAATCAACAGTTACCTTAAATTAACGGTGACACCATAAAGACACATTTGGTGAAAGAAAAATCATCTAATGTGCAAAAGAAAACGAAGCAATTGTGTGTGTGTGTGTGTGTGTGTGTGTGTGTGTGTACTGAATCAAGAAAAAGATACAGGGGGCGAAAAGCAAAGTAAATATTAACTATGTTTTTAAGAAAAAGCTAACAACAAAAATCCTATTTTGACGGGGTAGAAAAAAATTTGGGAAAGGAAAAGGAGCAAGTAATATTCTGTAATAGGGTTATTTTTTTAAAAAGTATGTATATCATAATACATGTTATACCAAATAATGATTAATTTGAATTTAATAGAACCTATTATGTTTGCAAGAACTGGCTAAAAAGCCAGTTAATTCTTAAAGGACAAATCTATAAGGACCAAAATGTCATATAAATGTTAAAATGCTAAATACCTAGGTTAGTATAAAAGGTAATATATTTTTGCTTGTTTGTTTTGTATTCCTGTGACTTTATAACATATTTTAATAACCAGAGTTTACCATTTAGTAACTATACTTTTTTCAAATCTCTCTGGAATCTGATGGAGGCCTATGATTTAAATTTAAATTTCTTAATGAAAGCCTATACAAAACAAAATACAAAAATAATCCTTTACATTTCCCAGTTTTAGAACAAAAATGTTACATCTAAACGTCAATAAAATCATATCCACTGTACCTTATTGTAACGATCGTGTGGAACAGACTGTAAAACAATTGGTTCCATGGTAGAAACATTGGCAAACTGTACCTCTGGAATGTACAGGGCACAAACCACATGAGCCCAACCTAAAAGTAAATAAAAATATTGTCATTTTCAAGTTTTCAATAAAATTTTTTCAAAGATAAACAAAATCATTAACTTCCTAGAGCAATCCCTTAAAAGCCTAGTTAAGCAAAAGTACAACAAAAACATGAGCAAATTCTCATTACTTACTAAACAGTCAAACCACTACTGAAAAAGCACTCCATCATTTCTCCAGCATAATAACACAAATGAAACACTTTTAAAATTCAAATGCTAGCACAACACTTCTTATAAGAGCACACTAAATGATTCGAATCAACACTGTTTCTGAGAACCACTCAGTCAGTTAAGTGTATGACTTCAGCCCAGGACATGATCTCAATGGTTCGTGGATTCAAGCCCCACAACAGGCTCTGCATTGACAGTGTGGAACCAGCTTAGGATTCTCTCTCTCTGGCCCCCACTGCCATCTGAGCTTTTTCTCTTTCTCAAAATAAACTTTAAAAAGTAAGAAGCGTTATAGTTGAATAACTAAAATTAAAATTTTACTATTTTAATTTTAAATGTCAATATTAAAATTTTACCTTTATATTAACGTTGATACTTTAAATACTGGTACTAGCATTCATTATTTTACTATTTCATCATTTTACTTTAAATATTTTAGCAATTAAAAAATATTAATGTTTCCGGGCACTAGGGTGGCTCAAGTCGGTTAAGTATCCGACTCTTGGTTTTGGCTCAGGTCATGATCTCACAGTATGTGACTTCAAGCTCCACATCAGGCTCTGGGCTAACAGCACAGAGCCTGCTTGGGATTCTCTCTCCTTCTCTCTCTGCCTCTCCCCTCCTTGTTCTCTCAAGATAAATAAAATTTAAAATATTTTTAATACTAATAAGCAAATATTAATGTTTTCCTTTTTAAAATGTGACTGAAACTATCAAAGAGCCATGATAATGAGGGATTACTGAGTCAAAATTGGAAAATAATGAAGAAGTCCAATCCAAGGAGGTGGGTACAGCTTTTGACCAATTCTGCCACCCACTGCCTATTTCACAGAAAGCAGGTAAAAAGGGTGAAAGGGGATTTTGACAAACTCAGAAGGCTGGACGTACAGGTGATCTATGTACTCAGCAAGAAGGGGAACGAATAAGCCCTTCCTTCCTTCCAGCTGAGACACTGAAGGCTGCAAGCCAGAACAACTTAAGTACACAGGCCCTCAGAGACTGCAGCGAGGTGTTAAAGTAATCTCAAAACTCTGAAGCTGGACTCATGTTACACTCAATTTCAAGTGCCCCCAGGCACCAGACAGAAGCAAATATACGCCCTCTCTGGAGGAAAACAATGTAATCTCGACTACAAATAACTTCTCCTATTGGTTCATTATCATTCTCAGCACAACAGAAAGTACCAAACACATGAAAGACACAACAACATAAATGAAAACCAGCAGAAACAAGAAAATCAAATCAGAGCTGTATTTTGTAATTTCACCCACAGACCTTAAAATAAGTACACTTATTATATTCAAATACAACACAAAGTTGAAAATTTCTTTGAAAAACTGAAAACTCTAAAAATAAATCAAAAATCCTAGAAGTAAAAACAAAAATCTGTTCAAAATCAATGGGTGAGAATAACAACAGTTTAGACATAGATGAAAACAGAAGGCAACAACAAAATAGGGAAGAAAATATCTAGAACGTTAGCACAAAACACAAAAGTATGAAAAATACAAAAACAGGACAAGAGGCATGGACAATGTAATCAGCAGGCCTCAGGCACATGTAATTAGAATCCTAGAGAAATGCAAGAGACAAAGTAGCACAAAAGTAACATTTGAAATAATACCTAAAAACTTTCCAGAACAGAACACAACAAATCATGGACAAAGAAACACAGTAAATCTCAGAATAAATAAAAATAAATCCATACCTAGGCACATTAGTAAACCTATAGAAAACCAAAAGAAAGAGATAAAAATCTTCATCCAACCAGAAGGCAAGTTATCGTCAAAAGAACTGGATAAAGTCCAAAAATATCTTTAAACAGATTTCAATTAAAAGGAACACTAAATAATTTTCCTCAGGCAACAGAAAAATGAGCCAAGAAGAAAGCACCAAGATGAAGTAAAAAAATGGTAAGCGTATAGGTACTTTTAATGGATACTGACTAGATAAAATAACAATACTCTCTTCCATTGAAAATACATGACTACATATAACACAAATTAAAAGGTTATCTGGTAAATTTTTCAGTGTATATAAATTTAACATATATTAAAACTACAATAAGACGAGAGAAAAAGAAGGTGAAAGAGATCCATAGGGCTTCAGTGTTTTTACATTTTGTGTGAAGCAGTACACAGAGTAGTCTAAAACTGTTAGTATGAGAACTGTAATCCCAGGAGCAACCACTATATACCATAAATATTTTTGTAAATACAGAAAGACATATGGCCTAAAAGGTAATTTAATGCAATTAATTAAATTTAAATGCAATACTAAGTGCATTAAACTGATTAAATGCAATGCTGAAAAATATTCATAGAATCACAAAGAAGGGAGAAAAAAGGGAACAAAGGAATAAAGTAAGGAAAAAAAAAATCAAGGTTAAGAAAGAATAGGTGGCACCTGGCTGGCTAGGTCAGAAGAGCATGCAGCTTTTGATCTCAGGTCATGAGTTCAAGCCCCATGTTGGGTATAGAGATTATGAAAAAATAAACTTTTTTTTAAAATAGTTTATTGTCAAGTTGGTTTCCATATAACACACAGTGCTCATCCCCACAAGTGCCCTCCTCCATGCCTATCTTCCCCCTTCCCCTCCTCCCCACTCTCATAAACTTTTTTTAAAAAAAGAAAAGGAGACTTCTTCTGGTCAAGATGGAGAAATAGGGACCATATTTGGCTTCTTGCATGAACAATGCTTATTTCCCATGACAAAAAAGACAAAATAATTGAGACAATGGTTTTCAAGAAACTATGTATCAGATAACAATAGTAGTAATCTCAAAGAAACAATAAACAAATGAGAGAAGCTCTCAGTTTGCCCAGTTTAATGTCTTGAGAGTTCTTCCAGGCCAAAGCACAGGGAGAGAAACTGAGGCCAAGCCCAGGACACTCCCAAAGTTCAGAAGATCAGGTAAGACCAAGGCAGCTAAAACTGGCAGAACAAAGTACCAGAAATGAAAACTCCTCACAGAGAGAACAAATGCTCACAGAGATATACAGAGAACACCATCTGAATATTAAAGGACATGAGTGAAGAAATTAACTGAGACTGGAAAAAGAACGATCCAAAAGAAGTCAAGGAAACCACATCTGGCAGACAAGAAGAGCTAGGAACATTGCCTGGTGCCCTAACTTAAGCCTGAGAAAATTCAACTCCCGGGACACTGGGTATCTGAATACTCAGAAAGATCTTGCCTCCACAGTGGGAAATACTTAGCCCTAGACCAATTACTGCTCCTAATAAATCATAAGAGCAGGACCTGAAAGGATCTAACTGTTTCCAAGGAACCTAACTGTATTTCAGAATAAAACTGAAGAAGATTTAAAGGAAGGCAAAAATACCCAGACTTCTGTCAGCCACAATAGTGGAGTAAGCAGCTCCAAGAGCACACTCCACCGTGAAAATATCAAAAAATCAAGCAGGAACTGTCAGAGCCAATTTTGTTAGGACTCTGGAAAAGAGAATGAAAGGTTTGCAGCAACCAAACACTAGATCAAGAAAAGGGCAACTTAAAAATAGCAGGAAAGCTTTGGATGTTTTTACCTTCCCATGCCCACCCTACATTCAGCAGAGGTCTTGAACAGCCCACATTAAGCAGTCCATGTGGAACCCTGGATCCTTCTCGATTCCGTAAGTTCAGAAAGTACAGACACAGAAGATATAAAAAAGATCCACAGTAAACAATTGTTTAAACAAAAATAGCAAGTATTCATTGTGGGGTTTATAACAAAGATAAATGCATGACAACAATTACATAAAGGCCAAAAAAAAAAGAGTAATGAACTATATTATCTTGAGAATTTTATACTATAGGAGTAGTAGTATAACAACACTTGATGATAAACTATACTGAGAAAAACATGTAAACTTTAAGCCCTAAGACAGTGACTAACACAACACAACAAAATTTATGGCTAATAACACAACAAACAAGATGAAATCATAAACATCTCAAAAGAAGGCCAAAAAAGAAAACACAGAGAACAAAAACAAATGAAGCAAATAAAAAACAAGTTATCAGGGCACCTAGCTGGCTCACTCAGCACAGCATGCAACTCTTGATCTTGGGGTTGAGTTCAAATCCCACATTGGGTGTAGATATTACTTAAAAAAACAAAATCTTTTAAAAATAAAAGTAAAAAACAGGTATCACGATGGTAAATCCAAATCTAATCATATCATTAGTCACATTAAATGTAAATTAACCAACCACCCCAATTAAAAGGCACAAATTGTTGGAATGAAGATAAATAAGTGGTCACTAGGCACATGAAAAGATACTAGTCATTAGTGAAATAAAAACCAAAAACAAAATGAAACACCACTTCATATCCACCAGGATAGCTAAAAGCAAAAAGACGAACATTAGCAAGTATGGACAAGGATGTGGAAAAACTGGAGATCTAATCACTACGAGTAGAAATGTAAAATGGTAACTCTACTTTGAAAAATAGACCAGTAATATCTCAAAAGATCGATAACAGAGTTAACACGTGACCCAGGAAATACACTCCCAAGAAGAATCTAAAGAATTAAAACATATTTCCACAAAAAAAATTATAAATATGTTCACAGAATTACTCATTCATAGCAGTATTATTCAAAATAATCAAGTGAAAACAACCCAAACATACATCAACTTTTGAATGGTTAAGGAAAACATGGTATATCCATACAGTGGAATATCAACTGGCAATTAAATGAATTACTTAGACATGCTGCAACATGGGTGAATCTGGAAAATGGTATGCGCTATGTTAAAGAACCCAGTCACAGAAGACCACATATCATAGGATTCTAGTTATATGA